CCGGCACAACCACAGTTCCGAGTGGGAAGGAATTGGAAAGCTTTCTTACAAAGGGCTATATGGCACAAAGCACCAAATGGACGGACATTCACCTTCTTGCTCAAATTCAAGCTGGACTGTACTCTTTACGAATACTGAAACAGCTTCTCGATATCGCAGCTCCTAGTGAAGAATTGGTTGAATCCAGTTCACTACTTGCGGATTTACCTCCACTACACATAATGATGTCGCGACAGAGAATGATCCAGAGCTTTGCTAATACTCGTCTTGTCCGGCATGCGGTTCGTCAAATGATAGAGACATATGGTTAACAAATATGACTACACATTACAAGCCAATGCACTATGTACTTTATAAATTAAAGACTGCATGGCTCGCGAGCCCTCAGGGAATGACCATAATCAACTAGGGATTTGTTATCCATTCATTTTTGTAGATTACAAGGACATTTGCAGCAGTTGCCATAGATGGAGAAGACATAAATGCGCCACTGTATAACCTTGCCTGAGAAGCCCCGGGTCCTTCAAATGATTCATTCCATTGGCACATAGGTTTAAAGTACTAGAACCAGCCCTGGGAGGAGCGATGCTGCTGGTTCTCGGTGCAGTCATTTTGTTTAACCGGATACGGTCGATTGACAGCATAATTTGGTCTTGCGTGTTGTGGCCGGTTGGTTGCCCGGTGTCTGGAGGCGAAAATTGTTTATGTTATTTTACAACTTTCTGAATAAGAAAGAAACGGAGATTTTGGTGGGTATCATGTGGATGGTCGTAATGGCGACAGACGAATGCAACGGTTGATCATTCAAGTCGCTCATTTTTCGGGGGCATCGGGAAGTCGTTCAATCACATATTTGCCACGAGCGACACTCATGATGGGTGCTCCGGGAATTTTGCTAATATGTAAGTTAGAATTTGGCCGATACGGCGAAAATGGGGTCGAGATGTAGGTTACATACCGAATGCGTCTCTTGAGATCACGATCGTTTGTGGCAATAATGTAGACACGGTGCTTGATAACACGATCGACCAGGCAGTCATCGGCATAGGTTCCCTTGTGGTCACACTTGACTCGCTCGAACCGGGGGTCCTTGGCTACACGCAGGGCCAGTCGGTATTTCGGGCCAAGCTTCTCCAACTCTGCAAGCACACAATCTGTGACGATAGGGATACATTTGGCGTACAAACAATCGAGCATGGTGGGAATGACCTCGAGTTTGTGCTGAATGGTGTGGGAGATGAAATTGGTATCGACCAGTACAGAGTATGGGGGGGCAAGAGCCGTGTTGAACTGGAAGAACATCGATGAAGGAGCTTGGGGGCTAGAACCGACTTGTTAGTATGTTTTTTGCGACAGTATTATATGATGTACTTACGCCTCTTTGACGAGGTCATCCTTCTTTGCCGCCTCTTTGCCTTTCTCTGTCTTGTCTTGATTTTGCTTCCTATAACCGACTGTTAGCAAGTCGCAACAAAACTGTGTTTCGCGATTGGGACGAACAGGCGATTGTCGCGCATAGAAATGGCTCTCTTGGCCAGCGCATACTTGCGAGTCTTTTTCTGAACTCCCATGATGACGATATGTGGATGGTGATAGTAGTGAAGAGGTTTTTTTTTTCTCTTTTCTTATCGGGGAAATCTATCTCGGGTTCGTGATGACTAATCGTGTCGATGCCCCGATGACATCCCGCTTGTCAACCCGCGGACAACCTTTGTAAGGGACCTCTTGTCTTCAAAACGCTCTTGTACTCGGCAACACACCGTCAAACGCTCACGATGTCCCAGCCTGATGCAGACTTTGATATGGCTAAGGTAAGCGCCCCTATTTCGGTGTTCGTAAGCAGCATCTAGTTCCCTAGACTATTTTACTAGGCAATCCCCTCTATTGATCAAAGGTCGGGCAGCTAATTCTTTTATATAGGTACTAGCCGATCTTGCAAAGTACGTGCGCTTGCATATAACTTACATAAATAATTTCATGATATTGACATATATTTAGGGGTGAAATGACTGCATCGGCCCTAGAGAATCATCTCAACACAATTGAAAGCCAAGTTGATGAACTCTTGGCATCTTTCGAAAAGCAGGGTTCTGCTGCAGCGGAGGCTATATCTATTGATGAAACAAACTTGAGTCAACCGGGCACAGATCAGGATCAAAAAGCAGAACCGTCAAATAGTCCACCCAAGTGATATTTGCCATCGGATCCCTTCTCTACAACCCCAACCTCTGTGATAATCCCATCTATCAAACTCGCAGGAGTAATGTCAAATGCTGGGTTCCAGACATTGATCCCTGGCGCGGCAATTTGCACGGTCTCGATCGTAATCTGGTCGGTGGTCTCAGAACCCCCCGAGGGACCTTTGATGCTGGTCACCTCAGATGCTGCACGTTGCTCAATGACGATATCCTCGCCCGATTTTGTGGCCATATCGATGGTTGTGAGTGGTGCTGCAACGAGGAACTTGACACCGTGGTACTTTGCCAAGACAGCCAGGGCATATGTGCCGATTTTGTTGGCTGTGTCACCATTGGCTGCTACCCTGTCCGCTCCCACCACAATTGCATTCACGCCCACTTTGGTATCTGCGAGCAAAGCGGCTGCCATAGAATCTGTGATGAGTGTAGCTGGAATTTTATCGTGAACCAATTCGAAGGCTGTAAGACGAGATCCCTGGTTGTAGGGCCTAGTCTCTGTGCAATAAGCGTGACGTAGGATGTTCTTCGAAGCCAGCGATCGAACCACGCCCAATGCTGTGCCATATCCAGAAGTGGCGAGAGAGCTAGAGATTCAGTGTTAGTGAGAATATACAACGGATAACAGATAGCGCAGTGGATCGGCCCTACCCAGTGTTGCAGTGAGTCAACACAGCAACTTCTGAATTTCCCCTGGCCGCGTGAGTGGCGATCCATTCTGCGCCATTGTGCCCAATTCTCTTGTTATCCTCGAGATCCTTTCCCATCATATCCTCTGCTCCCTGAATGAACGCGGTTGCGACGTCGCGGCCAGTAGAGCCCGATGCTTTCGTGCGATTGATCACTAGACCCTCCAGCTTTCCCGCAGCGTCGGCGAGATTGACGGCTGTTGGCCTGCTCGTCACCAGATAAGCAAGCTTCTCTGTGATATATTGGCACACTTCTTCTGATGATTGTGAAAGCTTGTCGCTATCTATCACAGAAGTTAGTTCCGCAGCGAGGGCAAGCATTGCTACAATAGCAATAGCAGGTGCCCCTCGGACTTTCATGTCTTTGATAGCATGCCATCCATCTTCTGTAGTCCGAATGGGAATGTATTTTTCGACAAATGGAAGCTGTAACTGATCCAAGATCTCAAGGTTGCCCTTGCTGAACTTGATTGCTTGCAGCATCTTCGTAAAGAGCAGTCAAAAATTCTGAAGAGTTAGATGAGGCGCAAGGAAAGAACCTTTAAAAAAAGTGCCGCGGGGACGACCCCTCGGTGGGACAGGGCTCACTTGGGAAAGCTTACTTAATCAATGCCCCGGGGGTACATGCATATAGGTACGATATAGGTACAGCATTCCCAGGAACGTACCTCCAACGTATAGCTAAGGTTACCAAGTCATAGCGGAGTCAAATGCCATGTATTACTGTGCGAATATACTTTGCACTAATAAGAACAGAGGTCAATGGCACATCGCCGCATCACCAGAAAACATTATCAAGCTGCCTGAGCAACAAATGATGTGCCCATGACCATGAGCACCAATGTTAAACCCAATACAAAGTAGGGGAAAAAAAGAAACCCCTCAGGTACATAGCCTCCATAGCCCCAGGCTCGCAAGTCTGGCCAACTGCATCATAAGAGTTGGTCAATCACCACCGAGGCTTGTATTCTGTCCCCCTAGCTAGAAGATTCCAAAACATTGCGATGGCACTCAGAGCATATCTTTCTTATTCACCTGCAAGGTGTCATAGATGGGCCAAATCGCTAACATCGAACAGTGTATTTTCGGATCAACTGGAAGAGATGTAGAGTACTATGGGTTCTGGTCAGAAAACTGTCGCGCCAGTCGTAGGACGGGAAGACCAGAAAGAATTGACAAACCGTTATTTCCGCGCACGAAAGCATCTCCGTAGTTCCGTCGTAGTTTTCCGTTCACGTATTCCTCGGTCTTTTCGAGGGCAATGTTCATGTATCCATCAACTGATTGCAATTCACCTATACGCGCATTAAAATTGAATCCACTAGATATTGAGAGAAGAGCCCATACCCTTGTATACCACTCCAGAATTCAGCTTCACGATCACAGGCGCACCGATGATCTCACTCAAGAAGACAGAGGGGTCTTTCCCTTCGGAGGTTGGGGCGTTCTCCATATTGATGCTCTGGTCTGAAATTTAACAAATGTCAGACAGATCAAATTTCAAAGGAGAAGAAGGGGAGACATACCTGGGTGAGATGTGTTTTGAAGTAGGCGGAGGGACGAAGCATTCGAAAGTGAGAGACCAGGAAGGCGGTGAGGGTGATTGAACTATCGCAAGCGGGGCGGGATCTGCTGATAAGTTTTCGTACACCGCTATTGTATTCTGCCTATATTGCCGGTCATAAAATAGTATACCTTTTACTGGGTTCTCAACAACATTCAAAGTATTGAATTGGTTAAATTTTGAAAGATGTGAGCTAGCCACGTTTATCTAAGGCCACTCCATAGGAAGTTAAGAGGGGGTATCTCTTCGACTGTCAGATATTCTGCTGGTCGGAAAGTATTCTAGAGCAGTTTTGGTAGGCGGTAAACCTGACGGTGTCCTACGTAGTTCCACTATGCCTATCCCAAGTCTGGAAAGATGTGATGCATGTTCCCTTCACCTTGACTGCCAACTGTTTGGATCACGCCTAGGCCCTCATGTCACACTTTTTACTCTTCCACTAACATATCGCTGATTATAACCAGTGCCCCCTCCACAGTCATCTCTTAAATACATTCTGTCATCTTCCCATACTTGCATTTTTTGACTTGACCAATTTCGGCCCCGAGAGTCATGAGCTTTTTCAAAAAGCCCACGTGGGCAGTCAAGAATACGGGGGAAACTGGCACTGATTTTTATCGACGCTCAGGACAGACGTACTCTGATATTATTGCTGCGAACCGTGAAGCACAGCAGAAGCAGCCGAAAGCACCAGAAATCCCAGAAGATACCGAAGATACCGAAGACACAAAAGACACAAAAGACACAAAACGAAAGAAGCGTCGTCGAATTTCTGAGGAGAAGGGGAAAGGGCGCGATGATAGCAGTTCAGTGCAAGATGTGACGCACGAGGTTGATAGGGTTCAAATTGTGATACCAAAGCCACAAGAGCTTTCAGGTTCCTCGCATGATTCTTCACCCGAGTCGGCCAAGTCAGTGAAACAACGCGAGACAACTCAAACACATAGCCCAGAAAACCGCATGTCTCAGTCACCGCAGAAAGCCAGTGGTCCGGCACCACTAGGTGCTCTACCTGTTCAACCAGTGATTGTCCTGGCAGATGACTCAGAAACTCGAAGCCCTCGACCTGTTGAGCCTCCTCGGCCTGTTCAACCGCCAAAGTCAGTGGATGACCCGGTCGTCCAGATCATGATCTCATCTGAAATTGCAAACACCAAACCATTACTCGTCCATCGAAAAATGTCACAGCGACTAAGAGATGTGCGGTTGGCATGGTGCAATCGCCAAAATTTCGACCCTCATATACAATCATCGGTCTACCTGACCTGGAAGGGCCGACGTCTATTCGACGTGACGACTTGCAGAAGTCTAGGCATAAACACCGAGAAAGGCTCTGGGGGTATCCTTGACTTTGATGATGACTCTACAGGCCAGAAGGAACTGCGCATACATATGGAAGCGGTTTCCGGCTTACCTCTTCCAGTCAACCAGCCAACTGCACCTGATAATGACAAGTCGCCTACAGTGTCGCAACCCCCAGAAGAGGATCAGGGTGAGCCAATGAAACTTATTCTGAGGAGTCTTGGATACGACGATTTCAGACTCAAAGCAAGACCAAAGACCGTGATTTCGCGACTCATATCTGCTTTTCGGGACAAGCAGAAGATTTCTGCGGACCAAGATATCTTCCTCCTGTTTGATGGAGACAAACTCGACCCCGATTCATGTCTAGGCGACTATGACATCGACGATCTAGATCTGCTGGATGTCCAGATCAAATAATCCGCCTTGAAGGATCCGAACTGAATAACAGCTAATCAAGGCCAATCAAAACTAATCAAAACTGATCAAACCTTCCAGTTTGAACCTAGGTATCTGTAAAGTAATGTATATAAGTTTTCAAAGTACACAATGTCGGGCTCACAGTCCGGGTATCCATATCGATCACATGATATCCGATAAGCCGTGGGGCTCTTATTTTTTTCCTCCCTCGGAGGGGCCACCGACGTCCATTATCCTTTAGATTGATCTCCTATCTAGACCCAATCGATCTCTACATATCTAACCAACATTCCCAAAATCTTCACATCAAAAACCAGCAATCACCCCACCAAACCCGCCACAATGAAAGTGATCACCGCCAATTTCGTGACATGCGCCGTGAAGGAATGCAAGACATCACCAGCCTCATTCCCATTACATTTCCAAGATGCCGAGCTAGAGCAACAGGAACTGGATTTCCAGCCCGAATTCATCCGCAACATCCTCCCCCGAATTGACTGGGAGGCCCTGCGCACCATTTCCAACGAGGTAAGTTACAACCCCAACACCAAGTTGATCCAAACCCGGATTGAACCACAATTACAAATAAGCTGACTCTTATGTGATCTTAGCTTGGATTCCCCAGTCTTCCGGAGTCGAAACCCGAGGAAGAAGCTCTCAACAACGAGCAGACATTGAAGGACTTGCACCGATTGCTACTTGAGACGCACGTCACAGAAGGGAAATTGACCTGCGGGAACTGTGGTCATTCATATATGATTAAGGAAGGAATTGCGAACTTCCTTCTTCCAAGCCACCTTGGTGAGAAATATTGTCTTTTCTTTTTTGGCCGTATTCGTAATGCTAATATCGCTCCCAGTCTGAACAACACAATCCCCACATACACCTAAATTGCTTCGCAAATCGATACCCCAGGGCTAGGAAGCGGTCTTTGAGAACCAGTCTCTCTCCTTTCATTTCCTTTTCTTCCAAAGAGGACCCTACGCAATGGCACCAAGGTTATCAGATATCCGAGTCGAGTTCTTCTGGGATTTGACACTAGGCTCTCATATTGCTTTCTAAGAGGAATTTTTCCTCGGGGCCATGACTCGACCCGGAAAACAGGCGAAATTCTTTTAGAATTGGTATATTGTACAAGAGAGTTTGTAGTTTATGAAATCACGATTGCCATTGATAAATGCGTCAATGCTCCCATCCTGAAAACGCCAGTCCGATTCAACGCCACCCGGTAGATGGGAGTCAATATGCCTCCCGAAGACTTCGCTAGATAGATCTCTGAAAGTGCATCTAATTGAGGAATCCTTTGCAGCCTGTTGAGCCACAGAGACAGGGGATTCGGTCATCGCTGTCCCACTCTCTTTCGAATTTGTAGTCGTACGTCAGCTCCTCATCTGATAGATTTTGTTAGCACGTCTGTTTTCTCCTGAAGAAAGCGCATTTCACAAACCTCTTTCGATATCCCTGAGCGCATAGATCACAATCCGTTTACTACCATCGACCTTGATGATCTTAGCAGTGCAGTTGGGTGTACAGCTGTGATTGATGAATCGCGCGATTCCTCCTCTTTTTGTGGCATCGATGACGGTGTTCTCGTCGATTCGGAAAAGATAACTGCTGCCGATTCCGCTCTTCAGATATCGTCTTTCTCTCATGTCGGCGACCTGCTGACGCACTTTCTCTCCGACATACTCGATGATCATGTCATTGGCAGTGATGTTTTCCTCGGCATACAGGCCCCAGTTGTGAATGGCAGAGCGAGCGAAGCGCACAGGCTTCTTGCGTTTCTTAAGCTGATTGAATCGAAGAACGTCTCCTTCGCCGCTCGCGGTGGGAAGAGCCTGCTTTTGCGCATTGATGTCTGCAATGAGCCGGCGGTTGTTGACTCGCGTTGACCGGGATGTCGATTTGGATATTGTTTTGGCGGCTGCAATTCTGGCAGCTTCAGCTGCTGCTGCCTGGGGGTCTGCCTTGGCATTCGCCTCACGCTCCTCGCGAGCTTTCTGAACCTTAATCCGATGGGGCAGATATTTGGATTTTTCTGCCTCCATAATCCTTTTTCGACCTTCTGTGCGCGCAGCTCCTGTAGGGTTTTGAACATAATAGCCAGGGATACTGATGGCGTCCTGGGTCGTGCCAGTTTCCAGGCCATTAAGAGCTTTTATCTCCTTCTGTTTCCAACCCCATGCAGCAAGGTTTCGAATAACTGATTCTGACTGATCCAATAGAACTTCTCGCAAAAATCGCAGATCTTCGTCGTCCTTGACCAGGTTTTGCCAACCATCCAAATCAAGCACGATGGCTTCATCATCTTCCACCGTTGCGCGGGGCTCATCCTTGGAAAAGCCCCATTCAATCTCTGTCTTCGGCTCATCAATCGGTTCGGCCTCCCACGTTTCGCTGCCCGAGAGTTCATCACCCTCGGGATGTGTGGGAGAGACAAGCTCGGCGGCTTGGTCCACAGGTTGATCGTGCGTCGGTAATTTGTCGCCATCCTCTGCGAGATCATCGCCAATAACTGCAGGCGCTTCCAGGTCCTTAGTTGCACCCTCATGCTCGACTGCTTCCGAGTCAATGCCAAAGAGCTCATCCTCCTGTCGCTGCCGCTTTCGTGCTTCTTCATCTTCAGTCAGTCGTTTTCTCTTGCCTGACGTGGGAGACAGCTCAAGTTCATGAGAAACATCGCCAGTTTCAATTGTGGCATCTAAATCATCCACAGCTTGAGTGACACGCTCTTCGTGCCCTTGAGATGACCCCAGATCTTCTGACTGGTATCCTCCGTCCTCCGATGACGTTGAACTTGCGCGACTGGGAGGTCTGCTCTCTCGCTCATCGACATCCCTAGTAGCAGGGGTGCGCTGTTCGTCATCCGAATCTTCATCATCGTGCAACTGCTGCAGGCGATGATACAGGGGCCGGACTTCTTTCTTTCGTAGTGGTTTCCTGCGCCGTTCGTCGAGGAATGCAGCACCCGCATGGTCAAGACCATGGGCTTTCCGGATACGAGGAAGAGCAAGGACATTCAGACCTGATGATCTGAGGGGGTCTCGCCCGGCAGACATTTCACCTCGAGAGTCAGGGGTGCTGTCGATTTGGAAAACAGACCGTTTCGTACCTTCGGGGTCCGAAATACCCAGTTTTTCCCTTTTGGTCGCATGTTTACTCGGTTCCAAGTAGTCGTAAAGGGCCGGAGCAGCTATGCGTGACTTGACGTCCTCGAGAAGCTTGTCTCTCAGGTCGCGAATGATGATAGACAATACCTCTCGACATGGATCCAAATCAAGTGCCCGCTGCTTTTTCTCTTCCTCGATATCCAAGTCGGCCTCTTTCCTTGTCCGATCCTTTTCGGCCTTGTCTCGGCGTTCGGTGCGGAGGCGTTCAGGGCTGGGACTTCGCTCGTAGTTTGGGTTCCCGTAGGGCTGGCTCTCCATGTTCATGATGTAAGTGAACAAGGGTTGCATGTGGCATAGTCGGTAGCAGCGTTCGGTTTCCTCCTCACCCCGGCGCGAATTCTCGAAGATGATATAGTAGCCGGTTTTGTCACAACGAATATGCTTATATTGAAAGAGCCTGAGTCTCTTCCTCAGGTGGGGAACCGTTGTGCTGAGAACTGGGACGTAACAATGCGCAATGAAAATGTATGGATCGCGTTTGATCTGACTCAAGATGGGAGTCTCTTCGACCAATGACTGTACAACAGGGGATCGGACACCAGCCCTAGGACCTTCTGGGATAACGACCCCCGGCCGTAAAGATGACCTGCCCGAAGGGCCCTTGGGCGCAGTCGGTGGTGGTTCGCTTTTCTTGATTTGGACATCGGGTCTCGGTTCACTTGCGGGCGGAAGTGGAAGGGTGCTCTTGGAAGCCAGTCGTTGGGACTCGACTGCTTTCGCGGCCATCCGATCTGAGACAATCCCGTCACGATCCAGCTCGACCCGAATCCTGCGTGTACCAATGCGTTGTTCTTTTTTGCATTCGAAATATGCACGTCGCGCTGCGCTAGATGCTGACGTTGGGCCATTTCCCCGGGCCGAGGTGCTATCTTTGTATTTGATGGAGCAGATCCCCAGAAACCGGCCGGTGATAGGGTCTGTGCGGTTTTTTATTTCGGCGACATCTCCAAAGCTCGAGAAAAGCGCGCTGATCGGGGCGATCGGGGTCAAAGGGTCGAACCCCGTCACCACAACTTGGATCGGAGGCCCGGGACCAATGCTCGTTGCCACATCGTATGACCATGGCCTCAAATTGTAAGGCGCGGGCCGATATTTTGTCTTTTGCTTGCAGCCAGATCCACGGGTATAGTTGGCAATCGCACGACGCGGATCGGATGGTGCATCTGTTTGGCCATTATTCACGATGTCCACATACTCAAGCTTTTTTCGTTTTTCCTTCGACGAGGTCCGCTTGTCGAGATCGGGATCATATACAACCTTGCACCCTCTCACACTGGGCTCGAGATGTCGAGTTTGCGACTGAGGGGTCGGAGGGGTGTGGATAGGTGTGATGGCAGATTTGGCGATTTCATGATTCGGCCTGGAAGAAGTGCCCGGAGAACCTCCGCCTGCGATCTTTTGGTGTGATGGACTAGTTACTTTGCAAGGGGGTGAGGACTCCGCATTGGTGAGCGGTGTCAGTGTATCGATTTGTGATGGGATGGGATTTGCCGTGGGTGGAGGTAGCCCAGTCCTATCCTCCACGCTCTTCGCATCGGCGGGAATTGTCAATTCAAGCTCGTTGGGGACCGATGGGGTGCGAGCTCCCCCTCGTCTGTGCCGGGTTTAGGAGGCGTCTCAGCGGTCGCGGGTGCGCTCGAGGCAAGAGACACTGGACAATCCGGGATCCTATCAGAAATTTGATCACCTTCGACATGTAATTTCCGTCGTTCCTGCGCTGTTTTAAAGCGCTTCTTTTGAAGGACTGATGGGGCGGTGGGGAAGAAGTCTGCAAAGCCAGCCGAGGCGCGTGACATAGTGAGAGGTTGGCTACACGCCAGAGACCGTGGC